CCGAGCAGCTGGGATTACAGGTGCCCTCCACCACTCACAGCTAATTTTTTGTATTTTTAGTAGAGACGGGGTTTCACCATGTTGACCAGGCTGATCTTGAACTCTTGACCTCATGATTTGCCCACCTCCACCTCACAGAGTGCTGGGATTACAGGCATGAACCACTTCTCCCGGCCACAGTTCATGGTTTTTTGTTTTTTTGTTTTTTGTTTTTTTGAGATGGAGTTTCACTCTTGTTAACCAGGCTGGAGTGCAATGGGGTGATCTCGGCTCACCGCAACCTCCGCCTCCTGGATTCAGGCAATTCTCCTGCCTCAGCCTCCTTCATGTTTTTAAAAAGACCAGTTAGCAAGTTCCACGTGGAGTCGAAGCCCAGAGTGGTGCTTGCAGGTGCGCCTGCACCTGAGTTGCCCGTGTGCATTGCTGTGGGAACTTCTCTGCACCCACGTTTGCTGCTGCTGCTTTCTGTGGGTGTTTCGAATGCTGCTCCGTGACCCTCCTCTGCCGTGTCTCTTGGTGTCATTGCTCACGACTGAATGGATTCTTTTTGTTTTGTAGTTGTTTTCTGTGGGCCAGGCTGCGTCCAGCAGTGCGCATTCCTCCAAGTCTGCGGTAACCATGCCTCGGGATCATTGTGTCCGTCCCCGCTCCTCCTCGCATCCTTCCTCATGTTGCCACCTCATGCCCAACTTGTGAGGATTCGAGCAGGGCTGTTTTCAGCAGATGCTCACAGGCTCCTCCAACGGGAATTCTAAGGAGGGTAGAAAGAAGGCCCCAAAGTGCTTGCACTGAGCTTTATTCTCCATCTTGAGCTCTCTGTTCTCTACCTGTGCTCCTCGGCTCCGTGTGGGTGAAGAGCGTCCTCACCAATTCCCAGGGCTTCTGGAAACTTTGGGGCATTAGTTCCACGCCTCTTTGTGGAGCCAGAATGATTATTCCTTGCCTGCACGTGCTGACTAGCAGCCTGCACCCACCGTGCCCCAGGTCCCGTGCAGGACTCGATTGCACTCACCACACAGCAGAGGCTGTCTTGCTCCTGAATCTGAAGTGCCCAGATCAGCTGAGTCATTGAGGAGTGCAGCTGTAATTACTTTTATTTATGTCTAATTGTTGCCTTACGTGGCAGTAATGAGCCCAGTGGAATAACCCAGCTGAACTTCCTTTCAAAATAAGATCTGTTGAAGTCCAAGTGAGGCAGAAAGGCACACTCTACCCCCTGCCCTGCGCGCTTCATGTTTTGATTCCATTTTTAACCCTTTGCATTTGACTGTGCGCATTGAGAAATCGAAGTGCCACTTGGTCCCAGGCAAAGAGATGTGTGAGCGTGAAGGTTAGCCCTTCTCAACCTAGAGGTCATAAAGCTAGAAGCCCCGCAGGGCAAGACCAAAGGCTGGGAGCTTTGCTGCAGGTAGGGGATGCGCCCCCATGCAGAGGCCTGCCCCCCCCCCCCCCGCCAGCTGCGGGGAGCCTCTCGAACAGTGCTCCCCTCTGGAGCCTGAATCCATCCCGCCAGTGTTGAGGAGGTGGGAAGGAGATGGCGCCCTCTTCCCTCACTTCAGCCAAGTATCCCCAGTTCAGAGGCAGCCATCGCCCCAAATTAAGATAAAGCCCAGTGCCATGAACAGGGCAAGCAGGAAGTGAGATTGCAAAGGGTGGGTGGATGGACCCCCATCTCCAGTGTCCCCATCGCTAAACATGGGCTTTACTGTTTGTCTTCTCCATGTTGTGTGTTGCATTCTCTGGTTTCTGCTCTATGGAAAGGTGACTGTCACTTCTCTATGGCACTGCAGCAGTGAGGTGGGCACTTCGGAGTTTGTCTCCCTGGGCCACAGGTATCTGCTCTGAGGGCCTGTTGTCACTCTCAGAGCTCTCCCACTCTGTGTGCTGGTGACAGCTGCCCCTCATGGGCACTTAGCGCCCACCAGGCGTGTCTCAGGGGCTCCTGTGTCTCCATGTGGTGAAGGCTCCCAGGCAACTCTCTGAAGGATGCCCAACTGTGTCCCCACTTTGCAGATGGGACTGAGGCCTGGAATTAGTGTTCATGGCAGGGCCAGAGGGCTTCAGGTGTGTCCTTGGTGCCACTGGCATTAAGTGGGGATTAGCGTTCTGGCAGTCTGGAGCCTGTGCCTGCCCTGCTCGGCCTCCTCCCTATGGGTTCTAGCTTCGGGGGTGGGACCACCTCTCAGGGGCCAGGCAGAGTGCAGCATGGAGTAAAGTGACCAGCCTAAAGTGTGCGCATCCTCCCGCATCAGGAAACAGGCAAGGTGTACGGCAGGCACTGTGTTCCTCTCTGGCAAGTGGTGTCCTGGCATTTGGGTCTGGGTTGTGGGGCTGCCCTTTATGATGGTGAGCTTTCCCTGGGGCACCCGCTGAGTGGCTTCTGAGGCCCCGAGCTATCTGTCTTGCAGAGGTCCAGCACCCCATCCTCACCCACTGGAACATCATCCTCAGACTCGGGAGGACATCACATCGGCTGGGGAGAGCGGCAGGGCCAGTGGCTGCGCCGGAGAAGGCTGGATGGGGCCATCAACAGGGTCCCTGTGGGATTCTACCAGAAGGTGTGGAAGATCCTCCAGAAGGTGAGCCCAGTTGCACTCCGCTGCATTGGTGCCAGGAGACGTGTGCTTTCTCGGAAGCGAACAGTCCCCTTACTGCCCTGGTGAGGCATGGTGGCATCTCCAGGCAAGCAAACAGCCTAGAGGACAGCTTCTCTGCCTTCATGCTGTTGACACCTGGGGCTGAGGCACCCTCTGCTAGGGGCCTGTGCGTGGTAGGATGTCTACAGCATCCCTGGCCTCTACCCTCCACATGCCATCTCTCCCCCGCACTGTGACAACCAAAAGTGTCTCCAGACATTACCACATGTCCCGTGGGAGGGAGATCACCCTGGTTGAAAACCACAGCAAGTAAGACAAGGTGGCAGTCCATGTTGCAGTTGTGTGGGACCAACTTGTAGGTATCTTAGGAACATAGAAAAGCCAGACAGAAGAACAGGGAAAGGCCGGGAGGCTTCGGCTGAAAACCCCCTAAGACAGACAACCCCAAACAGCCTCCACAGGCCTGGGACCCGGAATGACAGTTCAGGAGGGACCTGGAGTGGGCCAGCCCCCAGCCTCCTGCACGTCCAGGCAGGAATGGTGCCCCTGCTGTTCAGTGATGGGACTGAGCCCCACCCTCACAGAGTACCTGCCATGTTGGGTCCCAGGGTGTACAGAGGTGGAGAGCTTCCAGTCTGGCCCCGGGTCCTGTGGGCCCTGAAGGCACAGTCTCCCTCAGGCCCTGCTTTCCCCCTAGGGACGCCTCTCTCTGCCAGCTGCTGCGGTTCCCATGCGCCTGAGGCTGTTCTGACGCCCCAGCTATTGTCCTGTTGTCCTTCAGAACTTCGATGCATGCACCTGAGCCCAGCAGCACCTCCCTGAGCGCCTGTTGCCAAGGAGGGGGTGGCATTCTCTGCACCTCGCATTCTGCCTCCCTCCTGTCTCGGCCCCAAAGAGTTTGTGCAGCTCCTGTCTTTTCCCTTGCATGGAGGGACAGTCTGCCTTGCTTCAAAGCTGTGCAAACCAAGACATTCTTTTGCCTCAGAACTATTTTTTTTTTTTTTTTTTTAGCTCATTTCAGTGGGAGGAGAGAAAAAGAATCCCAGTGACAGCAGACAGCAACCCCTTCCCAAAGCCATGGCAGTGCTGGCTGAAGGTTCTTTCTGTATCAGCGGCCCCTGTGCTTCCTGGGGCCCGAGGTCTTCACGGCCACCACAGAGGCGGGTGAGGAGGTCAGAGCAGGCCCTACCCAAGCAGCTGGACTCCTGGGACCCAGGCAGGAGCCTGCAGGGGCTCATGGTGTTTGCTCCCTTTCCCACCTCTCGTGGGGGCTGCGGGGGTGGGAGCGGCCATTGCTGTTCTCACCTCAGCCCACCAGGGGTGCTGCAGGCCAGGGTGCTGGTATTTAGAAGGTGGCCAGTTAGACTAGAACAAGCTGTTCCTAGAAAATCTCCCCACTCTTCCTGGGGCATCACATGCGCTCAGACTTGCTGGCCCAATCCCAATCCACTTTTATTATGAAAAAGCAGCCTTGAGTGTTGAGCTGGCACTCGGTATTTATATACATGGGTGTGCATGTGCATGTCTGTGCATGTGCTGGAAGCTTTTGTGATTGGTACTTATTATAGAAATCTCAAAAATAGATGCCTGCAAAGGCGCAGAAGCATCCCTTCCCCAGCAGGAGCCATGAAAATCTCCCTTTATTATTGCACCAAAGGGGCCTCGCAGCCACCAGGGCCCAGTTGGCAAGTGCAGTGTGGAGCCTCCCAGGAGGACCCCACAGCCCCCTAGGGCATTGTTCTGCGGAGATCTGAAAGATGCCTGCTGGGTTCCCTAAAATTGTTCCATCAAAAACAGCCTGTGGGCAGTGAGAACAAGCTCTCTCTCTAAAAATAACTGACAGGTCCCAGCCCTCATACGGGTTTCCAGGTCGGAGTGGGCTGTATGTGCACGCACGTGTGTGTGTGTCTGCGTGTACACGTACATACTTGCATGTGCTTATGAGCTCGTTCTGGAATCTGAAATGTGCTGTGTTCTGCCTCCAGTGCCACGGTCTCTCCATTGATGGTTACGTCCTCCCATCCTCGACAACCCGAGAGGTATGATCAGAAAAATGCAGGTGCAGGCCCCTCTCTGGGTTCACAACAAGGGCTTCATTGCATGGATCTGACCTCCTGTGTTTCTTTCAAGCTCATTCTAATTGACAGGCCATTTGCAGGTCTGAGCTGTCTAGCCACTTCACCCTTACATGTTGCAAAATGTCTTTCCTGCATTTATGAGCCTCGGCCTTTTTCTTTCCTTCATCTGAGACTTAGCATTTCTGGGCTAGCAAGCTGTTTTCCTTTGCCAGAGACCCCTTACCCCTGTTGAAAGAAAGGAGCCGATCTCCATGCCACACTGGCCTGCCCCCCAGCCAGCCTTCTTGGCCCTTTTCTCCAACTAAAAACAGTCATTGTCCCTAGGTGATTTGCCATTCTTTTTAATGTGGATTTTGTTAGTCTTCCCCCACCCAAAGCACCATGCTTTATGCTGCAAGGAATAATGAAGAGGAAAGAGAAAGCAGAATTGGTCACTGCTCCCTGGAAGCTGTAGTCTATGGTGGGAAGGGTAGATAAATCAGGCTCAGACAGGCTGACTCTTGCTCTGAGGGTTGCCACCAGCAGAATCCAGACAGTGACCAGAAAGGGGGCAGCAGTGGTGCTGAGCCTCGATCCCAGGCAATGATGCAGTCACCCTTGGTTACTTGGTGATAGGGCTGCCTCTGTCCTGTCTCTCACTGGTGGTCACCTGCCCGTCCCTTTGCTAGATGACCCCACATGAGATCAAGTTTGCTGTCCACGTCGAGTCAGTGCTGAACCGCGTGCCCCAGCCCGAGTACCGGCAGCTGCTGGTGGAAGCCATCATGGTGCTGACGCTGCTCTCGGACACGGAGATGACCAGCATCGGGGGTATCATCCACGTGGACCAGATCGTGCAGATGGCCAGTCAGCTGTTCTTGCAGGACCAGGTGGGGGTGCCAGGGAGCCGGGTTGGCTGGCATTTTTCTGTTGAGGCTGGAGATTCTGTGTCCAATAGGAAAGAATATACTTGAACTAAGAAAATGTCATCACAGATGGGGAAAAAATGCCAACCACTTGATTAGAGAATGGTACAATGGCCACTTGGGAAATCTCAGGACCTTTGGAGATGGATAGGCCTGTCTCAGTGCAGGTTTCATCCACACACAACCCCTTGCAACACACGACCCAGGCCGAACCCGTTATCCTGTATGCAAAGCCAAGTTCAGCAAAGTGGTCCTCTCATTATGGTCAGTGAAGAGCTGCAAACTGGGGTGCGTGATGACAGCGTGCAGGGCCCAGAGGAGAGGTGGGGCATCCCCCTGGCAGCGCTGGCTGTGTGCCTTCAGCATTGGAGCTTCTCAGGAGAACAAGGGCCTCTAGCAACCCTCACCCTGCCCATGTTGACCCGCTGCCAACACACAGAAGCGTGACAGGGAGTGAGGGCTCTGCTCATTGTCCCTTCTGCCCTTTCCTACTGCAGGTGTCGATCGGAGCCATGGACACCCTGGAGAAAGACCAAGCCACAGGAATCTGCCACTTCTTTTACGACAGTGCGCCGAGTGGGGCTTATGGGACCATGACCTACCTAACAAAAGCAGTGGCTTCTCATCTGCAGGAATTGTTGCCCAATTCGGGCTGCCAGATGCAATAGGGTCTCGCCTAGAAACATGACCACACTCTGAATCTGTCACATGGCCCCTAGCCTTATTGGGAACCTTCTATCCCCTCCAAGATCCCCTGTGCTATCAGGAAAGCATGTCCCATCAAAAACACTGACGGGGGGGCGCTGGCAGCACTCACCCTGTGACTGATGTCTGTTAAAGCCTTAGCGATAGAACTGAGGAATCCTCTGCTCCCCCAGCGAGCACCCGGGATCATTTTCTAGGTTCATTTCGCTGGAACATTTGTCGCAGCATCTGGTCTTACGGACTCTGAGGAGGAATTGGAAATTGGTCTCTTTTGAGTGCAGAGGGAACTGAGAAGCCAGCTTAAATTGGCTCTTGCAGAGAGTTACAAAAATAGTTTCAATGAGCTAGTGCCACATCCTAAGATGCAAAGATCCTCTGGAGGCAGTAGCCAGACAAGCAAACCTTGACAAGGGCCATCTCTTCACAGGATGCAGTCAGTCTGTGCACCAAACTCTTCACCAAATAGAACGCGTGTGTCTCTGTGGAACTGGGGTTTTCTTGTGCCTTGCTTGCTTTCGTAGCCTTGCGTTGTGTTGGCACGGCTGCCTTCATGTAGCATGATTCTCTATCCCTAAGACAGAAAATTCCTCTTCATTCACCTTGGCTCATGGTCTTAAAGGGTTTTTATCCTGGCTTCCCATGAACTGGGGTTTTCTCTTGCCTTAGGAAAAATCCCGAATCTTCTGGAATCTAGGAAGAAAAGGCGAGACTCTTCGTGTAGCCAGGCAAGCAGGGCTAGGCCTGCGGCCCCCGCTTGTGTGGGAGCGTCCTGCAGAGAATACTTTCCTCCCATGCTCTGGGCAGGGCGTCACAGGGTGAGTGGGAGTCAGCAGTGCCGTGGTACTGAGCGGGTGTGTCACTGCAGAAACAATGCTTCCCTCTGAAAAGCAGAGCCAGCTGGGAACCTGCACCCTCTTGGTAGAAGCAGTTTGGTCTTCACTCTCTGGTGGGTGTGGTCAGAGGCACCAATTGGAAGGGAGCAATGTTGAGTCAGGTGCCAGGGTCTGGCAAATCTTTTGCCAATGTCCTGGCAATGGAGTTTCTCTCGGAGCATTGTCTTACCTTGGGGGAAGGAAACTAAAGCAATGGGAACACAGTTTCTGTAAATAATAAACCTTGGAAGACAAATGCTTACCCAGTGGCCAGAAGGCGCACTCTGTCTGGTTGAGAGCGATTGGCTAGATGGTGGTGACTCTGCCTCTGAAATGGAAACAAGGCTGTGGGATCGTTTCCTTGGACATCTGTGAGGAGGTGAAGCGATCACCATGCCCTAGCTGCTTCGAGTGGGCATCGTGATGCCCAGTGCCCCTCAGAGCCAAGATGGCAATATTGCTGGCTATTCCTGAAGCAGAGGAGAGGCAGGTGGCCTCAGACGCCTGACAGCTTCCTGGCAGAGTCCTCTTCGGGCTGAGCCAAACCCTTTGCAGTCTAGAAGAGTCTCAGCACTCCCATCTTGGTGTGCAGGCTCTGGCCACAGGGGACTTCCGTGCCATGCCTTTGTTTCCATTTCTTCCAAACCATGATGCTCCCCTTGCAGAGGTGCAGAGTAGTTAGGTAGAAAAATCCCCAGGGTCTCCCTATCATCTTCCTATGGACTTATGCGTTTCTTGCATTTGAGGGGCAGATCTCAGAGACTACGAGGGCGGCACATGAGCAAGCATGGCACCAGGCCCTTGCCCCCTGGGGCCACCCCATTCCCTCCCCATCCTGGCGGGCCACAGTGGTGGTGGGGCTGGAGGGACACGCAGGACAACAGCCACTGACCAGAACAACTCTTCCCTCGCAAGCTGGTTTGCTTCCTTTGCCCCTGAGGCTCCATTGGGCGCAGCCTCCCAGGTCTGGGGGGGTCACGTTTTCATAGCCTTCACATGTGTGTCTTTAAAATGTGCCGGACAGAAACAAGAGTCTTGGAGACGACATATAAATTCACCTGCTGGGTGGATCATTTCAAACAGATAATTCAGGCAAGGTATAAGAAGATTTAAGCCATGAATGTTTTTCTTGGAAGAAGCTCAGGAAGAATTAGAACCCTCCAGAATGAGCCAGGTGCTAATTTAGAACAGTCACCTGCCTGCTGATGACAATGACGTGCTCAGCCACTGAGCCTCGGGCTGGGAGAGGAGCTGTAATAAGCGATTCCACTGAGCCTTCCAGCCACTCCTTTGAAATCTCTTTAAAATGAAATGCTGAAATAGGACTGCATTTTCACAGGCATCAAGCTGTCAGCTTCAAAGGAGAACAGGCTTCTGAGGCCTGGCTCCTGCCCGAGGAGAGGAACAGATGTTTGAGGGCAGAGGGCCTGTCCTGACAGCACCTGTGGTGGGAGGGGGAGAAGTGCAGGGGTGGGAGGGGTCTCAGGACTTGATTTCTAGGCCAGGTGAGAGTGGCCTGGCAGCCACCTTGAGCCTGGGGGTTGGGGGGCTGCGGCCAGGAACTGCCTTCCGCCTCGGAGCCAAGAAGTCAATTTGAACCTTTGCGGGGCCTCCGGATTAGCACGTTCTGTCTTGGAGGGCAAGCTGGTGGGGCCAAGAACAAGCATTGCTTTTAACAACTTCAGCTGAAAAGCAGCTGGCGCCCCACCTGCTGCTGTCCCTGGCTCTCACCAGAGGTGAATTCAGCATCCCTGCCACCCTGCCAGTGCCTCTGTGATCCTGTGCAAGTGAGCTGATCACTGTGTACCTCAGTTTACCCATCCACAAAAAAGTGCAAAAGGCCAACGGAGCAGCCCATGACTAAATGTGGAGATGTGACATGAACTCCCCTTCCTCCTCCGGCTGAAGGCTTCATGCTTAGAGGAAACCGGATATGCCCTATGGCAACCCTGCCTGGAGTTGTGGGGGGCTGAGGGGAGGAGGAGGGGGAGAACTGGCCTTTCAGGCCCCGGGGCTGGAGGGGTGGGGCTCCATTAGGAGGTGAGTTGGGGGTGGTGAAGGGGAAGAGAGATCATCAGGGCTCAGCTACCTGGACAGAGGATGAAAATCCTGTGTGAAAAAAGAAAAGGAAAAGACCCCAGAGCAGGAGGCAGGAAACAGTTTGGCAGGTGGTTGACGCTGTTTGTTTTTGGACAAGAAGACAGGCGGCTTGGCCACCCTCGATGGAAACTGCAGCAGAACCATCAATTCTATTGACTCCTGCATCAGGCTGGCAAATAGCTTTTGTCTTTCCTGCTTTCTTCTTGTCAAAGGGTACAAAAGCCCCCCCACACCCTCCACTGCCCTTTGCGCTGTAATCTTTCAAGGTTACTTATGCTTTTGAAGTCCCTGCCATCTGCTTCGCCGGCCTGTACTTTGCAGGATGTGAGAACGCCGCGTTCCCAGAATGCCTTCTGTTGTCCCCAACGAGGCCGCTGATGGCTCGGACTGTGAGGGGAAAAGAAAGCTGTGCTGTGGCCCTCTTAGCCCAGTCCCTGCTTTCTCCCTCAAAAAGCCACTTAAGAAAGCCACGGCCTTGACTTACCAAGAGAATTCTCCAAGAAATGAGAAGACCAGAAACTGCAAGAGTGTCTGCGCTGCAGCTGAATGCGAGGTGTGTCTGGTGATGCCTGGGAGAGGGAAAAACTCCATCAGACAACTCCCTTGGTTTTCTTTAGAGGAACATATGTGCACTTTTGGCAAAAAATTCCTTCTTAGGAGGACTGGAATTGTTGGAAGCAGTGAACTCTGAAGTCACGTAACTCGTCCCTCTGTCTTCTTGCAGTCTGTAAACTCTTCTGAAAAATGCACGAATCCAACATGAATCCCAGCATTTCTGCCATGCCCACTGAGAGCCAGGCAGAAATACAACCTGGTTGGGGGGTGGGGGTGGAAAAAAAGCATCTCTTCTGTGTTCGAAGGCCCCTGAGGAAGCCCCAGGGGCTCCCCTGGTATGCCTGGCACTGGCCTAGCAGGGTGTTGGCATCCCGAGCCAGAATGCTGTGCAGCATGAGCCCAACCCTTGCAGGTGGCCATCACCCCTTCCCCCTACAGCTGGTGCAGCTTAGGTACCAGGTTCTGCCAAGGGCAAGCTGCATCTGAATTGGGCAAGAGGGAATGGTTGCACCTTCTGCATTTCCTTTTTGTGAAAGACCTTTCCAGATACAGACCCAAGATGGACCTGCCTAAGAGAAATCCCAGTAACTGGCTCTAATCTCTGTGCCACCAGCTGCCATTGTCTCCAAGTACATTTGCAAATAACAGAAAAGTAGGTTTATTAAAGAATATTGGGCCAGGCACAGTGGCTCACGCCTATTTTTAATCCTAGCACTTTGGGAGGCTGAGGCTCACCTGAGGTCAGGAGTTCAAGACCAGCCTGACCAACATGGAGAAACCCTGTCTCTAGTGAAAATACAACAATTACCCGGGTGTGGTGGTGCATGTCTGTAATCCCAGCTGCTCAGGAGGCTGAGGCAGGAGAATCACTTGAACCCGAGGGAAGCAGAGGTTGTGGTGAGCCAAGATCCGCCATTGCACTCCAGCCTGGGCAACAAGAGCGAAACTCCATCTCAGGGGGAGAAAAAAAAAAAAAAGAATATTGGATAGGTCACATGGTCACCAGGCTAAGCAGTTCTTCGGCCAGGACCAAGATCAAGATCCCATGTCACTCCCTAGTACTTCCAGGTTCACACCCTGTGGCTTGCACCACAGACACCTCTAAGGCTGAGCACTGTCACTGGGGCCACTGCCTCGGCCTCCCAAAGTGCTGGAATTACAGGCATGAGCCACCGTGCCCGGCCACCAAAAGGGATTTTAAACAGCCACTAGCTGCCACTTCAAGGTCTCAGGCAAGCATGCTGCCTTGGTTGAGGGGAGAAGTGAGAAAAACCAGCATCCAGGAGGGCGAGATGGCTTGCACCTATAATCCCAGCACTTTGGGAGGCTGAGGTGAGTGGATCATAAGGTCAGGAGTTCAAGACCAGACTGGCCAACATGGTGAAACCCTGTCTCTACTAAAAAACACAAAAAATTAGCCGGGCATGTTGGTAGGCACCTGTAATCCCAGCTACTTGGGAGGCTAAGGCAGAGAATTGCTTGAACCTGGGAGGCAGAGGCTGCAGTGAGCCAAGATCATGCCATTGCACTCCAGCATGGGCAACAGAGTGAGACTCCATCTCAAAAAAAAAAGAAAAAGAAAATCCAGCGTCCAGCCAGGCATAGTGGCTCATGCCTGTAATCCTGGTGCTTTGGGAGGCCTAGGCAGGAGGATCTCTTGAACCCAGGAGCTCAAGACCAGCCGTGGCAACAATGTGAGAACCTCCCTACAAGAA